ATGTTTATCTATTCATATATCTAGTAACTAATCTATCAATCAATCAATCAATCACACACATACACACACACACACATTCACTGCTCATTGAAACATCCCCTTTCTACAAACAATATGTAAAAACTAATATCCACAAATTAAGAGACGTAAATGTTAAAATTAAATTTGGGAATTGTTGTAGTTTCACACATCTATACGGTACCAGGTAAATTTTGCCTGATAAGGACTGAATGACACTTTTCATCTATGGTATTTCCATCACATCACAAGGTATTTGTTACTAACAGCAACGCACCCTCCAATGACAAAGTCCGAAAACCCGGGTATTATGTAAACCCCAAACCCCAAACCTGACCTTTCCTACCTTCTATTCATTCCCTAGAGCAGGGAGACAAGGCCCCCATGTACCCCATCTTTATTAGTTCTTCATGCCAACTTCTAGAAAATGGACATTTGTACAGTACTCTGGCTGTGTGCGGGCATTGTAAATGTAGTCTCTAAGTGGTGATATGCAACAGATATTTTCGTCCTTTCACAGTAAATACGAAGCCACAGCAGCTGTACCTGTGTTGTATACAACCTTTTCTCATGCTTTATAAGATGGCGTTGCCCATTTGCCTCTATCTCTGTGTCACACTCAATAACATTAACCAAATCTAATGATGCTATTAAAGAATTGGAGAAACTACTCACTCATACATGGAAATAATCTACGCAGGATAAATCATAGCATCAGAATTAAGAAAATGGGTCATGTCAAGTTCTTCGTAATCGAATGGGGGTTTGGGGGCAGAGCCTACGATAAGGAAATACAGCAATAAAGTAGGGGTCTAGGAGTGAAGCACCAGTAATAGGAAGGTTAAAGGTTTATACGGCTATGTTTGTGAATTCCCAGTAGCTGGTGTAATAGGGACTTAGTGCGAGAAGGATGCAGTCACTTCATAAACAATTACCAATGTTTTACTTACATCATTTGCGATGGAAAACAACACCATATTCACTCATAATACACTGTGAATAACTGAAACAAGGAATAATAACTGCAAAGCTGGATAGCTGTGTGAAACTAAAACTATTCCCTAAAAATTACCGAAATTTCTATATAAACCTCAATAAGAAGACTGCCGCACTCAGCTTCGTTTACACTGATAAGATAAGCAAATTCAAGTCAACACCCCATATGACGATAGAGTACTTGCAATTCAATAAGGATATACCACAAACGCGTTCCTGATCCAATTAAAAACAACCATGTCACAAAAATAAACGAAACGGAAGCGAGGTTTTCAAACACTTTTTTTGCAATCGCATTCAAATAACCTGCATGGAAGCGGGGACTTCGCGTATCGAACCCTCACTGCTCAGCCACCCGACCTGTTCATCGTCATTACGCCCAATTCCTCGGTTGGTACTTTGACTATCACATACCCACGGAATCTCTATCACTTCATGGACGTTTTGGTAAAGTTTGAACCTATTGTGATGCGTTTATCTATGCAAACTTACTTTCCCTTTTTGGAAGAACTCGACGAAGCCACCGAGCGAGGCCATGACTCAGGCCCAAACACTGCCTCCGAGTGCGCTCTTCCTAAAAGTTAATTCACAAATGTCCCTTCTCGCCGGTAGCAGGGTTTGAAAATACCGATTTCAGAGAGAATATCGAAATTCTAGCTCGTAATGGATAATTATCGAATCGGTCTTCGCTCTGTACTTTCGTCGTGAGGTCCTCCAATGGGGTGAATTAGCAACGAAGTCGCAGCCAGGCGCGGAGCATCCGGAGGAGGGAAGCGAGCGGATGTCGTCTGCCGTAACGGAACTTGTACGACTTTTGTAATGTTTTGTAATATTTATCTATGTGTGGCTCTTTCTCGGGAATGATTTGGAAACGTGACACTTTCTGGTGATTCCAGAATAGCTTAGATAATCGCCAGAGGGGAAATAGTCCTGGGAAAATACTTCGGCGACGGTTAAGTTATCATACATAGGTTCCTTCTATGGACAACCTTCGCTTTCAATAAAACGATTCTTAACGCGTTTGCATGTCGTTAGAATAACTTATTTCGACGTGCTCTGTATCGGCGAGTGAGGGTCATTAGGCAATCAGGCCGAGGTGTGACCAAACCCCCATGAATCTGGCAATGAAAAAAACATTCTCAAAGAAACGTGATTAAAATACCCCTTTTCATTTGGAGGGAAAATGTTGCATGGCATTTTCATGAAGGAAATAATTCCAAAAATCTCGCAATTAATTTATTTAATCTGTTCGGTACATTTAATAGATCTTTAGCAATAGGTTGGATGCTGTTTGTTTATTTTCCTTCGTCTCAACCATGTGCATTGGAAGGAACTAAAATTATCCTCCCGTCAAATACCTTCTGACGTCATCATCGTTGCGTCAGTTGCAAATTCAGAAAGCTGTCATTGATGGGAAAATCACTATGCTGCAACAGAGGAAACATTCCACATACACATAATAGCTAAATATATGTGTGGTTGTGTGCGTGCGTGCGTGTGTGTGTGCGTGCGTGTGTGTGTGTGTGTGTGTGTGTGTGTGTGTGTGTGTGTGTGTGTGTGTGTGTGTGTGTGTGTGTGTGTGTGTGTGTGTGTGTGTGTGTGTGTGTGTGTGTGATAAAACCAAACAGATGGCCAAATGTAAGGATAAACCCGACTAAACCGCTTTAGGAGATAAGAAATTACTGAGAGAGAAAAAAAGCGGTTTTCCCAATGTGTAATATACGGACTCACGTAACATTTGAAATACCAAGGATTTCCAGTACATGTCTGAACTCCTTTCCGCAAATATAAATGGAAATACGATAGTCATGTTAAAAGGGACTTAGAACATAATGGCTATTTTAAACATTACGTTACGGTACTAATATTTAGTATCATTTCGTATCTTTTTTCTTTTTATTTCTTTCTTTAGGAAAAAGTTAGCGACGGAAGTACACTGATAAGCCCATGGTTAGTTTCCTGACACATACAAGGAAACTTAACATTTAGTCCTGGAAGTACGCTAGGGACACACACACACACACACACACACACACACACACACACACACACACACACACACACACACACACACACACACATACAGATACACACACACACACACACACAGAGAGGTTGTTAGGAGCTAAGCAGAAATCTGTATCATTTGTTTGATATGAAAGCTTTCTTGTTGTGAAGGTCAAAACATGAAAATATTTAGCGTTGTCAAGTTGGCATTTTAATTTAGTTATTTAATCCCTTTTTTCCCTTTTTGAGATTTAGGAATATACGTAAAGTGTACCCTGTATGCTATTCATTTTATTATTTGTTTCGCTGTTGGTGATGCATGCCCCCCAAAACATCTTAATCACCAAAAAAAGAAAAAAAATAGCTTTATATATTTTCCTATTTTGACATACGCTGCACTTTACTACGCGCTCTTGTCAGGGAAGTTCTATCTGTACAGGATATCCACGCTCTGATGAACAGCAAATCCTGCTATCACACCACACACCACGGATGGATTTCCTGTTGGTGTTTTGTCGTCCTACAGGAACAGAGGATCTCCCTTATCACCAGATACCACGAGAGTCCTCCAAGACCTTCTTCTTATCACAGGAGGTGCTCTTCGATGTCGCTTTCTAATGATAAAAGGAATCAAACGCATTTTTAAAAATATGCGCAGTAGCAACTCGAATTGAGGATGTCACTGCTAACCTACTATGACACCCCTCTCCCTCCCCCCTCCCCCCTCCCGTCCCTACACCACTAGGGGGGCTGGGGTGGAGAGGGGGGTGGGGTGATGACGAAAACATTGTCATGGTCCAGGGCGTGACATGCAAACCTGTCACACCTTCATAAAAAAGAGAAAAAAAAAAGACACGCGGAGAATGAGGCTGCGTCCCTTTTGGTTTTATTCGAGTGCATGACTTCATGATCATCCTCACTGCATGAGTAATTCTTTGGTATTCATATTGTAAGACTAGATTTGTAATACTTTAACCTGGAAGTAAAGATTTGATGTATGTAATCTTATTTAACCAGTACAATGTACACGGTAAGGGACAGTGCAAATAACTCCCTTTAAACACGTACTAAATACTAAACGAAATTAACATGTTCATATACGGGAATGGAAAAAAATACATACATTGATTTTTACCATAAAATGAACACCGAATTCGCACTCACAAAAAACACTAGATGTTTAGAAAGATGTAATAACAGGGCAATTAAGGGACGGCAGATGTATTGAGAAACGGAGAAAGTAAGGTAGCGTGAGAGGAGACAGTTCTCCAGTAAAAAATATTGTCAAATAAGGTTGCAATTTTCAGAGCATATAGATAAATAACATTCTGGAGGTGCAAATGCAATAGGTATGTTATAAGATATTTGACAAAAAGACAAGAACGTTTTATTATAGTAAAACCGTAGTTTAAGGAAACCGTGATGGAGAAAATATCCAATTACTTTAAAAAATAATTTTAGGCTGCCACGCGAACGTACAGTAGAGTAATTTTGTGGAATTTTATAGATCAATCCAATGTATTACTCTGAGGTTAACATTAAGAGAAGCGAGCAGAAGCTGATTTCTTCACGATTATGAAATCAGACGAAGCATCTGTTCGAGTCTGACGTCACTGGCGAGTGCGTAAATGAAAGCGATTTACGCGTATGAGAAGACTGAACAATTACTCGAAAAGCTAAAGACAGTATTAGCTTGTTGAACCCGACAAGAGTCTCCATTAACGAAACCGAGGAATGCGGCAGTGAACGCAGCCGTTGTTGCCGACATAAGATCACTATTCATTCATATTTCGAGACTCGTGCATTATGCAATTTCCTCATTTCCTGACTGCACAGCCAAGATGGGGAGCTACTCTGTCATTATTTAGCAATAAGCACCTCACTACAGCAGCTTTTCCTCTTCTTTTACTGATAAATACACAAACACGAGCTCGTAGAAAGCGCGTTTAAAGAAAGTTAACCGCGCTAAGGAGGAAATAAAATCAATGTTTCCCAAAGACGAGTTTTGAATACCAGCCCAAGGTGAGCGAGTCTATCAAATGCCGCGCGGAAATAACACTTCCTATTCAAGTTTCGCCAGCTGGGATGGCTTCTGACATATCCCCGAGTTTTTAATGCACGTAGCACGGCGTAATAGTTTATATATAAAGGAAGGGATAAAGTCGAATAAGGAACCGCTACCACCGGCCTACATATCCGAATGTCTTCATGTTTACACTTTATAACCGTGACTCGGCACATGTTAGAGTGGGTCTTCTTCACTTTCTGTCATGCACTGGTTGGTCAATGGCATTTGTCTAAGGAACTACAATGCTCAGGGATTTATCATCTTGCTGTGTATTTTTGTTTATGATCTACTTTATAATTAGTACTCTGACATTGATTAATGAATAGACAAAAGAGAAACCCACAAGAAACTTTTGAAAAAAAGAAAACTCCGCAAAACATGGAGACAAAATTTTTTTTTTATAATTACTTAAATAGGTACTCTGCCTGCCCACCAATAGATAATTAAGGAGCTGAAAACACACAAGGAGAACTTTTGAAAACAAGAAAAACAATAGAAAACTCCCGCACAACATGGAGACAAAAAATGGATCAATTATCTTAATAAATACGATTTGCATTTAAGACTAAAATCGCAGCCAAATATCGCTTTGCATTCCTGGCATTCTCACTTCGCTCATTGCTTTAGTTCCACTTTAAGAGCTAATTAGTCTCCTTGATATCACGTGTCTGCTCCAGTTATTTCTTTATTGATTGTTTTCGCGACCTTCCTTCCAAGATCACTGGCATGTTTATGATTTCTAGTTTGAAATGCTTGTTTTGTGTGTTGATTTTAATGGCTTGGCGCTTTGACACTTTTACCGATACGGAGTGACATTTGCCATATTGCAAAACGCGTCACTGCATTTTCGAAATCAATTTAAACTCTTATCGTCAAGTCTGAGTGGTGAAAGGAGAGGCAGGCATGTTTATATTTAGCATCAGGAATGTGGTGAAACTGTCTTCTCACATTTCAAATAAACCTGTTTGAATACACTAGGTTTTTCACCCGCCGTGTCAACAAAGAATTGCATTCTCACCTTTCAAAACAAACCCCCCTACTTGTGGTGCGCTAAACAGTCGGCTTTCATGTACCGACTTTTACCACGTACAATACACACAAAACATTCTCTCGATACGCCAAAGAACTGCTTGTTAACCGGCAAACAACCTACAAAGCCGAGAGAACAACCATTTCCCAAGTGACACGTCGAGGGGCTCCGCCAAGCATCTTCACCTCGCCACTCCCATTGCCCCGCCATCTCATTTCATCCTTTGACATTTGCCCGTCTTGTTCAACCCACATCGCTTCCTTCCCAGGCCGCCTTGCACGAGCCAGTAGGCCAGGGTCGAGTTGCATTGAACTTCAGCGGGTTCCGTCGGTCCACATCCGGACTATTAATAACGATTTGACGTCATTTAGCAAATCGCGCTCGACAGCAAAGAGCCACCAGATGGTACAGTCGTCGGTGCCAGCTGCGCTACCTCGAAATCAGGCTGCATACCGGACTCAATAGATGGAATAGACCTTTGAAAGATAAAGGCGTAAATACGAGATATGGAGGTACCTGTTTAACGTGTCTTGCTTGAGAACAGGTCCTCCTTACGTAGACGTGGTAAGGTCAAGTTTAATGCACCTTGGGAGGGCTTTCAATATCATTTGCAAGG